CCTTTCTGCCCCTTTGTTTCTTAGGCAAGGTTTGTGTGGCACTGTAGGCTCAGGGCTTCCCACATGCTCATAGCCCTCACCCAGCCAAGGACTTCTGCTCCTTCCCATGGCCAAGACTGGTGAATGACTCAAATGAAAGGTCCCTTGGTAATCATACCTTCTCCCTCCCTGCCAGCCCAGCCAGTGCAATGCCCAGTGTGTACAGGCAGGTTTGGGAGAGCTCTGAACCTGTGGCAGCAGGTTGTCTCAAAAGCCTCTCATCACCTCTCCTACTACCCCAACACCCACCCTTTGGATGCAGTGGGTGCAGCAGTGAGTACCCTGGACATGCAGGGCCCTGTGTGCCCCACTCCTAATGTCCCAGGGGATGTCAGACAATGCCACCACCACATCTGCATGAGTCTGTGCATCCCATGCCGCCTCATGAACCTGCCAGTAGCAGAGTGACCCACATCCCCAGGGTGCTGTCTCTGTTTAGTCCCTGATGGCTGCTTTGGGCAGCAGGAGTCTCTCAAGCCAGCTGCCTGAATCTGCCATGTGTCCTAGATGGGCTCATGTCACTCAGTTTCTCCTGTGAACCCGTCAATGGAAGGTTTCTCTTCTATTCCCAAAGAAAGGAGGAGGGTGTCCTGGGCTGGTTTGAGTGAGTGATGGTCCGTGGGTAATTCTCTGGGGATGAAAATTAATTTCTAGCTCTATGGTTTCTGGCTGAGGAAGGAATGGGTCAGAACATCCTGCAAATATTCTTGAGTCTTTCTGGGACATTTCATCCCTCATTCAGTCCTTACATTCAGCCAAAAAACAGAGATGTGAGTACCCTAACTGTGGAGTCTTGCTCTGCAGGGAGATGCAGTGAGTGAGATTACTCCTGTTCCCAAAGTAATGCTTGCCCTGGCAAGCAATTGCTCAAAGTGCAGGTGCAGCCTGAAACAGGTAAATCCCATGTATTTTTGTGCCTTGGTGACTTGAGCTGTGAAAGGGAAATGCCGTGGGGCTGGGCTGCATGGTCTGCATGGCTCACATCCCCTGCCCTCTGGCACAACACAGCCATATCTCCAAGCGCCAGCTTGGAAGCCTTCTTCCTCACCTCCACTCCCTTGTAGCTGGGGCAGCACTGAGCACGGACCCCAGCTGAGACATGGTGTAGCAATAAAGCACTCTGTACTGGAGCTGAGGGGCTTGGAGTCACCAGGGACAGGTTACACCGTCCCTGTGGGAAGGGGGGTCTGGTCTCTGGGGCCTGAGCCAGTGCAGACTGCTCTGCCATCGCACCTTCTCCAAACCTGCTTTCACCCGCTGAGTGGGAAGAGAAGAGGGAAAGCCACCAGCCCGGTAAAACCGAAGGGCTGGGTCTGCTGCTGCTGCCCTCACCCGGCCGGCATCCGTGGTGTGGTGGGGCTCCCCTGTGCCCTCCTCTGCGCCCCCCTCTGAGTGCTGTCCTGCCTGTTCTCACCTCCGCTCTGCTCATGACTTGCTATAGAAACCAAGCAAAAAGAAGACAACAAACAGGTCAGGGCTGGACTAGAGAGAAGCTGGTTGTTCACCTCCTCTGGCTTGTCTCGCGCTGTCAGTCCTAATGCAGCCAATATTAAGCCAGGTATTTTCCATGTGTATGAAGGACTTTATTGCCAGCGGTGTCAAAGCCCTCCCCAGTGGAATAAAGTTATGTGACAAAATGCGTGGCCAATGCTCGTTTTTCCTGTTGTTCCCCCTGGAAGCTGCCTCCCTGCAGCTCCAGGCAGGTAGCAAGGACCAGCGTGCAGTGAGGTTTCCTTTACAGCAGGGTAGGTCCTCATCCGCGTGGTGTCTGTGCCGGTTATGCCACAGGGCTATCTAGGAATAATTCAGCCAAATGCAAACACTGCCTGAAAACTGAGACTGTGACACCCCTATGGGACCTGTGCAGCCAGAGAGACCTCAGGGGAGAGGGAAATAGTCACTGAATTAAACTGTGTAAAGCATCAGGCAAGATACTCAGTGCTGGGCATACTGCCCAGGATCAGGTTGGTCTTTTCCACCTTCTCTGTCTCTTTGCCTTTAAAGTAGCAGAGAAGTTAGTTTGTCCTTATCCCCAGCACTCCTCACAGCTTGTTGTTATCCCTCCAGCCCTCAGCCCTGGCCACCCAAAGGCTGGGTGCATGACCTGACATGCCACTGTGGGTGCCATGCTTTGCGTGCTACGTGTGCCCATCTCTCCTCTTTGCTCCCATTTGCCCAACAAAACACACATATTCTCATCCTGTTCCACCAAAACACTTTTCTTCTTCCTTCCTTTGTCACTGCATTGCCCTTCGAAGTCTCTTTCATGGTGAGGAAGGTGCACAGTGGAAAGCTGCTTGCTCGACCCCGAAGCTGACAAAATTAAGAAACAATCAGTATAATGAAGCAGCAGAAGAAAACCAGAGTAAAGGAAAGAAGCGTTAACCTTGATGAACGCCTGATGAGCGAACTTTCTCAGGAGGGCATAATCCTGTAACTGAAATTTGCTATTTGAAGGGGGGGGGGGGGGGGGTGAGAGGATGGAGAAACATTTAAAAAATTCAGAGATTTTCTTTTTTTTTTTTCTTTTTTTTTTTTTCCCAATCACCCCGGTTGTCCTTGGGAGCAGCCAGCACCGGCCTGACCCGGTGGGTCTGCACTGCTCCATCACCTCCCACCAGGAGAGCAGGGCAGGGGCTGTGCCGTGGGGCTGCCCATGGCACGGAGCCAGGAAGGCGCCAGGGCAGGGGCAGGAGCGGCCGCAGCGCTAGGCGTGGGCACAGGGCACAGGCTCGCTATTGTCCTGCCCGGAGGCGGGCTGGCCGCTGGGCAGCGCTGCCGGGGAGCTGCGCCCCGGGACGCCGCGGCCCCGGCAGGGGGGACCGCCGGGACCCTGCCCTCGTTCTTGCAGCCATGGAGGAGGACGTCGCCCATCACCGCGGCCACCTGCCCGTTCCAGGCGGCCCCAGTCGCATCCCGACCCCGTCGCAGCGGCGGGACAGCCCCCTTGGTGCCCCCACGAAGCGGAGCTGCCTCTCGGTCACCCTGCGCCAGGCCAGTGTGGATGCCGGGGGGCTCCCCTGGGAGCGGCTGCGGGGTCCGGCCCCCATCACCCCCGTCCCCCCTCGGCCTCGGCCCACAGTGGCCTCGGGGTCCCAGCGATGTGGCGGGGCCGAAGCCTCCCTGGTGATGAAGATGGGGGTTCCCTGCGCCCCACCATGTTCCGGTGGGTCTCTGCTGCTGGGATGGGCTGGGCAAGGGGGGAGGGAGGCGCAAAGGGGTGCCTTGGTAGTGCCATGGGGCTTGGCATGGGGCAGGGCCCTGCGGGAGCAATGGGGGGACATGGGGAGGATGGGGAGCAATTCCTTCCTTGGAGGCCATTTCTCCTTTCCCTACACTGGGAATGTGGGTGGGCAAAGGCAGACAGGAGGTGAGCCTGTGTGGAGGTGAGCCTGGCACTCAGCAAGGAAATGGACAGCCATGGGCACCATGACAGGAGATGCTGGGGGTGCTGGGATGTTTCTCTGTCTGTCATCTGTCTTAGGCAGCCAGGCTGTGGACCACTCAGCCTACTCTGGGTAATGACTGACAGTGATTCCTAAATGGTCCTGTAACCCACAGAGGGTGCAGTTTCCTTTTTGCCCTGGCCCCAGCACAGCATTGCAGGGGCAGAGTGCAGCCAGGGCTCACAAACAGACTCACAGAATGGTTTGGGTTGCAAGGGACATTAAAGCGCATCCAGTTCCTACTCCATGCCATGGGCAGGGGCACCTTCTGCTAGAGCAGGTTGCTCCAAGGCCCTGTGTCCAACCTGTCCTTGAACGCTGCCAGGGATGGGGCAGTCACAACTTCCTTGGGCAGTTCCAGGTTTTTTTCCCCACTGTCTAATCTAAATCTCTCCTCTGACTGTTTATATCCATTCCCCCTTGTTCTGTCACTACTTGCTCTTGTAAAAAGTCCCTTTCCAGATTTCTTGTAGAATGCAGGAGAAGGAAACACAGAGAGGGGAAGGGGCATCCCCCTCCAGGATGTGCCCCCTCTCCAGATGCAAGCACATCCACTGGGCACATGCAGGTGGGCAGTGCAGGCATGTGTGTATGCCTGCGGGGGCACACGGGATGTGACCTGCGTACCCCAGCATGGCCCATGGGCAGCGCCTCTTCCTGCTCACCACACACATGAACACACACGCACGTACACACTCATGCACACGTGTACACACACACACAGAGGGGACAGCGCTCGCTCTGCCTCTGCACCACGGGCTGAGAGCCAGGAGTCACAGCTCCAGAAGAGAGAAGGTTTCTCACGCCTCCACAAGCGGATCTGAAGGGCAAGTCACTTCTGATGAGCCAAAACATTCCTAATTTCCCTCCTCCGGGAAAGCAGAAGGGAGGCCTTGCAATAAATACCTAGGGGAAAAGAGTGCCCTTGAGTGCCCTGCCAGAGCCAAGCTGTGAAGGGTTAAAGATCTTCCTCCCTAAACAAGCAGAGATGCTGAAAACGCTGGGGAATTGGGAGGGAAAGGGGTAAGAAAAGGCCTGTGTAATGTGGGTGTGCAAGGGGGGCCCCTCCAGGGCACGGAGGGGGCCCATTGGCGGTGCTGTCCCCATCCCGGTGGTTGTTCGCCCCCCCGGAGGGGCCGGGGCCCGGGATGGAGCCGGGGAGGGTGCGCGGGGGGAGATTTTGCGGCGATGTTTAATATTCAGGTCACATGACGATGGCAGCAGGAGCAGCACCAGCATCCCCTCTCCGCTGAAATAGCCACTGGAGAAGGAGGGGAAGGAGAGGTGGGGAGAAGAGGATACAGGGAAGAAAGAGGGAGGTAAAAGCGGCGCCTCGTAGCCCACCGTGCCCTGCCAGCGTCAGGCTAGGAAAGTAAGGGGAAACCCACCCCCTTGGGCGAGGATTCGGAGACAAAGGAAGCTTCATGTTCAAAGGTAGGATGCTCTGGGCTTGGCAGGGCTGGGCGATGCCGGAGGGACGCCGCTGGGGCTTTTTGTGCAGGCACCCTCCGCTGTGCTTCCATACTGCCCAGCTCTGGCCACGGAGGAGGAATAACCCCGAAGGGCAGCAGGGGAAATCGGTCCTGGCTTTGTCTGTCTTCGTTTTTCCTTTTGGTGGCAGCAGTCTGGCATGAAGGAGAATGAGATGGGCTGTTTGCGGATCTGATCTGGAGTAGCTGCCGTCAGGGGCTGCTTTGAAAGAGATAATCCGAGCTGGTCCAGGGCTGCAGGAAGCCCACAAGCTGCTCGTCGGCTGGCTTGTCCCTTGCTAGTGACAGGCAGCGGCTGCAGGGGCAATATCCTGTGCTGCTCCTTGGGCATCTGTGCAGGAGCCAGCGGCGGGCAGGGAGGCCCTGCACGGGCGGGAAGGCGGGCAGGAGCACAGGCAGCTGCGGTGGTCCAGGGGTGCTCAGCATCCTCTCGCCCTGTGGTACAGCCGTGCCACCCAGGGGTGAGCCGGGCTATGGGGTAAGAGATGCACGGCCGGGGACTGGCAGTCTGGGTACAGCTGGGGCTGAGGTGAGCATCTAACCCTGCAGCGGCGGGGCTGGGGACGTGCCCGGCCCCTTCACCTCCAGCCCCTTCACTTCCAGAGAACCTTCAGCACACACTGCCCTAGATTTCACTGCGGCCCTGGCAGAGCCAGGCTCCTGCCTGAGCCCTCTGCAGAGCACTGAAGGGAAGGAAGGTTGCTGCCAGGAAGGCTGCAGCAGCTGAAGGACTGGGATGAGTTTCCCTGCTTCACTGGAAATGTTCAGCGGTCCTCAGGCCAGGCAAAAAGATCTGGTAAGAAAAATGGCTCTGTTCTGCACCCTGAGGTCACGCAGTGCATCCGGCACAGCTTAGCCTTTGCACTGCACAACTGGGAGAAATGCCTGGGTCATCACAGAAACTGAGGGGTAAAAGGGATTTTCCAGTAGAGGGATGCTCAGTCCAGCACCTTCAGATCAGAAGCAATGCCTGCAAGCCCCAGGGAGGAAGGGCTATTGAAGGAGCTGCTGGCTTTTCTTCCCAGGAACCTGGTGTTACCCCTGTCAGACACCTTCAAGCTCCAACCCCATCCTTCCTCCCTGTTCCATGTTTGCAGGCAGTGGAACTGTGGGTCCAGAGCCATGCAAGTGGAAGGGGCTGGGGTGAGACTCATGTGTCGATTTCTGCCTCCAGCCAGAGCAGGACAGCCTCATGCCACACGGGAGCTGCCAGGAGGTTGTCCATGTGGGGGTTAAATAGCCTTTCCTTGCTGGAAGCTGGGCTGTGGTGAGCAACTGTTTGCAGCCCTCCCTCCCTCTTACCACTTAGACAAAGGATGGGAAGGCAGGGGGAGGGGATGCTACTGTATCTGGGTTATGGGGACAGAGTAGATGTTAGTCCCAGCTATCTGAGCCCCTAAGGGACCCGCAGGGCCACCTCTGTCCCCAGCTATCTGCTGTGAACACGAGGTAGGCAGATGTGAAGCGTGTGCTTCAGGAGTGGTGTTTGCAGCTGGACATGTACATCAGCCTTTCAGGGAGTGGTTTTGGGGTGGATAAGGGGGTGTTAGAAGGAGGAGCCAGCTGGGACCATGGGGACCTCTCCAGGCACCCATTGCCCTTCTGGCTCTGCCCTCCCTGGTCCCAGATGCTGCACCTCTCCCTGCTCCAGAGCCAAGTGGAGCATCTCCTATGAGCCAGAGATTATCCCCTGTCAGCCCAGCCCAAGCCAGCTCCCACCAGGAACCAGGCAGCAATGACCTCTTAAATGAACTTGGCTTAGCACATGGAACTAAGTGGCAAGGAAAAGGGTGACAATGCAAGCAGCGGATGCAAGTGGTTAACCTTGGCTAACCCTCTATTCATTATCAGCTGTACTGGCTGTAGTACCCTATCATGTATTCATTACAGCAGACATCTGGAGGGGCCAGGATGTGCCTAGCATGCACAATAGTACCCCTTGACCAGTCATTCAGGGCACTAATGAGGTTTCCTAGCGGCATTAGCATTACTGCATGTGAAGCGGAGCCATTCCCAAGAGACCAAGTAGGCACGTTTCATGTCTCAAGGAGGTTGTCATAGCTCTGCCTTGGTTTTTGCAGACCCTGACCTCCCCAGCAAGCTGCTCCTCAGCTGGCTCCTTGGACTCCTCTGTGGGAGTCAAGAAGCGGAAAACTGTGTGTGGAAAGCTGAGCCCTTGGGCACCTCTTTGCAAAATGGGGCTTCCCTGCCCGAGGCTGTGTGGAAAGAGAGTTAAAAGGGAGGGTGCCTACACTGAGACCTTGAATGTCCAAAATCAAATGCTCAGGGCAACATCACTGATGGAAAATCCAGGAAATGTTTAAGGAGTCTTCTGCAGATCTTTTCTCTTGATCTCAGGGCTTTATATAGGTGGTCAGGAACCTGACTCTGAAATATCTGCTCCAGCTGCTGCAAGCTCCTGGCTCCAGCAGTAAAGCCTGCAAACAGATGGCCACATATTGAATGTCCACAGCAGAGTTGGGAACATCTCCTGGCTCTGGGCAAAGCATCCTTCGGTGAGATTGAGGTATGAGCTATGAACTTCTTAGTGAGCCTTGAGGTTGGCTGCCAGCAATTTACCTGCTTCCTCCTCCCTGTGTAAGAATAAGGAGGCATAAAAGAGAGGGCAATAGATTCCCTGAAGACAAGCTACAGCCCAGGCAGCAAAAGGGTTGCAGCCAGGTCGTGCAGTCATCCCATGCAGCTGCTCAGCTGGGCTTTCTTCTCACCTTATCCTGCTCCCTGTCCACCTCTGGTGTTTATTTGCCCCCATTACTGCAGTAGGCAAGTGCGCTACTGGGGCCACAATCCCCTGCCCCATTTCCCCACATCATTCCCTCTCTCATTCTCTCTTCTCCCTGTCTTTGGAGTAGGTGGGACGAGAGCAGGTCTCTGTGAGCTGTGCACTGGAGGATGCTGCAGCAGGATGAGGGGCATGGCACAGCCACATGACTATGGCACAGGTCCTGTACCTGGGTGAGGAGGGGCAAAGGGCAGAGTGCAAGAGAGCTGGCTGCCTTGGTCCACCATGCTGTGCAGGGCTCTCCTGGCTGGCAGCAGCTTTGAGAAAGCTGGGAAAAGACAGCAGGAGCCCCAGGGGGTGCTCCGTCAGCAGGGAAGGCACAGACGAGCCGTGATGGGTGCAAGAGCAGACTGCAGCTGGGAAGCATTTGGCTGGGCAGGCTGCTCCCCCGGCAGCTGCCCGGCAGCATGAGGTGCTCTGAGTTGCCAACCTGGCTCAAGCCAACAGTCCATCTTGTGCTCTGGTCCCCCCAGGCTACTGCTCGCTGCTTCAGGAGAGGATGGTGATAGCTCAGAGTGAGGGACCATCTCCAGCAGAGCTCTCCCCTGCCAGCAAGGTGAAGGTACAAGAACCTTCAGACGTTATCCACAGTGCTGTGCATGGGTGGAAGTGCTACCACCCTCTCCCACAGGGGGAACATCCCTTCTCCCACTCTAACATAAAAAACTTACCAAGTGGTGTCAAAGGGGCTGGGTGGAGGCACCCTTCTCCCTGACAGTGGTGGCCCTTCCACAAGGTCCGCCCTCAGCACATGATCATGGGGTATTAAAGATTACATACAATGTAAAATCTTCACTGTGTAGAGCAGCCCTTGTGCCTATGTAAGGGCTTTGATGTGGAAATGCTGGGCAGGGTCACCAGCCACCCATGCAGCCTAACCCTGTCCTCAAACAACATCACTCTGACCTCTCCCCAGCCCCGGTCTCTGCCTGGCCCGGCTGAGCTGTCACAAGGACCCTGAACTGGTGCTGCCAGTGTCCCCAGCCTGGTGACCTCTGAATCACCTTCCTCTCCAAGCAGCATCCATCACCCACTGAATGGCAGTCGCTTGCCTGGCTTCTCACATCCTCCTCTGCAGCCAATGGGTTCTGCTGAGTGGAGCGAAAAACTCCACCGAATGATGGAAAGGGATAATTTAGTGTGAGATACTTCAACTGAAGTGGCCTCCAAAACAAGTGGAGTGCTTAGCAAGCAAAAACAGATGCTGTCCCTGTCCTGGGAAAATAACCATCTAATGAGACAAAGCATGGGGGAGTCAAGTAATTAGAGTGGGAGAGGCTTTAGTTTGCAGCTGGTCTGTGTATGAAAGGTATTTGATTCCCATCCCCTTCATCTTCCTTTCTAGATTTATCCCTCATGCCTCCCTTCCCCATCAATTACAGCTTTTATCCCATGTCATGTTCTCTCCCAACCTCCAGCTTCCTCCCAGCGGGTGGGGGCTGCTCGCTAATGAGACAAGAGATGGAGATAAATGGATGAGGCCCACCTCAAGCAGTGTGTGCCATCACCTGAAAGAGTCAGGGAGCCCATAAAGCCAGCAGGAGCTTTCTCTTTGCCTGTTTGTTTTACATGGAAGAAGTGAGGAGGGAAAGATGCAGATAATTCGTTTATTGGTCACAATGATTAGTTTCTTGAGCATAACAAAACCCATTGATCTATGGGTGGGAGGTAAGTGCAGAGGTTGTGACCATGCTTTGCACTTCCATCACTGCCTTTCTCTGAGGAACTCAGCCTTCACAGCACAGGCAATAATGCAGCTGTCCCTGGCAAGGTCTAAGCTTTGAAGTCCTCATGGTAAATCCCAAACTTTGTTTCAATGACAGGACTTGACACATGATAGTTTTTGGAAGTCTGTTCCACTGCGAATTTCATGCTAAACTTGGAGGGGCAAAACACTGGTGAACCTGGTAAGAACTGGGAGACAAAACTGAGGAGGCACACACAGAACTTTGGGCACCCAAATAGGTACCCAGCCAGGTTCACCTCGTGCTGAGGTAGCATTCAGCATGCTGCATGCTCAACAAACCCCATTTCTCTACCTCCTCATCTGGTATGATACATTGAAGGGTGTGCTGGAAATTCAAGTAGATGTTCCTCCCTGAAGAGGAACTTCTTACTGCTACAATCTTGCCATCCAGTCATCAAGTACCCTTGAAATGGATGCTCAAAGTTGCCCTCAGTCCCTGTGACAAGTCAGCAAGGGGGTCCTTATTACACCTTAATGATGATTTTTCAATCTTTCTCCCTATGTAGGACCAGTGGAGAACAAAAACGAAGCAGCCATGTCTGAGCTGGTCCCAGAGCCACGACAAAAACCAGTCGTACCAATGAAACCCATGGGCATTAACGCCAACTTGCTGGGCTACATCGGTATAGACACCATCATTGAGCAGATGCGTAAGAAAACAATGAAGACAGGTTTTGACTTCAACATCATGGTTGTAGGTAGGCACGTAGCAGTTGAGGTACTGGGAACCATGGCCAGGGACTCTCCTATGGGGTCAGGTGGGAGGGCAAGCCCTGCAGAGAGGAGTTGGTGCAGGGGAAAGGAGAGCCTGCACAAGGCAAGGAGACCCCTGCAGTCCCTTCTCCTGCCAGCCTGGCTCCATCCCCTGGGCCTGCTGTCATTGCAGGGCTGTGGCACATGTCATAGGCTTCCTCTTTGCAATCCTCAGGTCAGAGTGGACTGGGAAAATCTACATTGGTGAACACCCTCTTCAAATCCCAGGTGAGCCGCAAATCTTCAGGATGGAACCGGGAGGAGAAGATCCCCAAGACAGTGGAGATCAAAGCCATTGGGCATGGTAAGAGCCAGGCTGCTGGGGTGAAGCAATACTTATGCTTCAGCACAGTCTTGCAGAAGACCCCAGTAGTTTATGCAAACAGTTCTTTGGTATTAGGCAGTCCTTTATTCATGGGAAGCTAAAGGACAAGTGTCAGTTTTAGATGGCCTCAGATCCAGCCATGGCTTTTCTTAAACAGTGATGCCACTGATGCCACAGCTAAAAGTGAGGGGTAGAAAAAGAGTTATAGATGTTTCTTCTGCCAACACATTAGTCTACATATGCGGATTAAGCCCTGCTGTAAGTCATTCCCACCTGCGGACACTTAATAGTCAATACAAGCTGCATTAGTGGGTTCCCATCCCAAGTTTGGTAGAATACATCTCCTCATGGCAAAGCATCAGCACAGCTTCTACAGTGGTGCAGAGTAATGTGTATCATCTCAGATTCAGGATGGGGAGGACAAGTTGTGTAAGACAGGTACTAGCTCTGGGCCACAAACTGAGCACAAATCCATTTTCCTGTGGCAGAGTAGTATAAGGTGGCTTTGGTGCAGAGGTCAGCAAAATTTGGTGTCAGAAATGCAAGTGGGGGTCACCACTGTTGAGGCATGACCCAGCCTAGCCTGGTCATGCTTGCTGGGCAGGGATGAAGGCAGAGCACTCTTGTTCCCTTGTAGGGTACAGAAACATGAGCAGTGCCCTGGGAGGTTTATTGATTGTTTGCAATGTCTTTCCCAGTCATTGAAGAAGGCGGTGTCAAAATGAAGCTGACAGTGATTGACACACCAGGATTTGGGGACCAGATCAACAACGAGAACTGGTGAGTTTTACATGGTCAAGACCTTGTGTCACAGAAAGGGCTGGAGTTGAGGTGGTATATGGAGCAACTCTCATCTACTTGGCCTGGAAAGCACCTGGGACTCCTATTGCACTTAGGGAGCCAGTAGTGGGGACATGGAACTGTGAGCACCTTGGGTCTGTGTGCATGCTCGGGGGTATGCACACATTACATAGGAAGTGCCTATTTCTGTGCCCAGTTACAGAAACTCTTAAACATCTCAGCTAATGGTGAGATGCTTGTGGTGGGTATTTTTTATGCCTGAGTGTGCTTTGCTGCTGTCAGAGCTAGGAACACTGTAGGCAGGAACATGTGGAGATTTGTACCTGTCTATTCATCTCTCTCTCCCACCTTAACAGCTGGGAGCCTATTGAGAAATACATCAATGAGCAATATGAAAAATTTCTGAAAGAGGAGGTGAATATTGCAAGGAAGAAACGAATTCCAGACACGCGAGTGCACTGCTGCCTCTACTTCATCTCCCCCACAGGCCACTCGTATGTACACAGTCCCCCATCCTTCCTCAAGTCCTCAGTGCTCTGTACCAGATACATACCCTGCACTGTTCCATCTCAGGCCCAGGGGTCCTGCCTGCAGGACTGGCCACTGTTTAGCTTAATTTCGAGTGCTGTGGGGCTTGGAAGGGTCTAGGATAACAAGGGCAGGAGAAATACCACTGTTTTTTGGGAGAGGGCAGGATGGATAGGAAGAAGGAAATGAGAGCACAGTGGTGGCAAGCAGGGTACGTACAAGGGGGGTTAATTGATGCCCTGATGCTGGGAGAGTCACTAGGATGAAAGGGGAGGAGGGTAAAGTGACCCTTTCCATGTTGTTCCCCCTTGGGCTGCAGCCTGCGGCCTTTGGACCTGGAGTTTATGAAACATCTCAGCAAAGTAGTGAACATCATCCCAGTTATTGCCAAGGCTGACACCATGACCTTGGAGGAAAAGACTGAGTTCAAACAAAGAGTGAGTATCTCCTCTCCTGCATGAGATCCTTCCCTGCCCTGGCTTGGAGGTGGGAGAAATGCACGCTATGCTTCTTCCTGGGATTGCAGCACAGTCCCTGGGGCATGCGCAGAGTCTAGTGCTGGGTTGGTGGGTAAGTCCTGAAGATGCAGCTGTTTGTGGCAAGAAAGGCATCTGTTAGAGGGGGAAGAAACGTGTATCCCTGTGTCATCTAGTGTCACGGGAACAGCAGAGCAAGACAAGTAACTGGGGGTTGGGAAGAAAGACTCATCATTGCCTCTGTGTGTCCTCACTTTGCTGCACAGTTCCCAGGCACAATCCCTCCAGCCCCTGCCTGCTGGAAGGATGTCCCAGATGTGTTTGCCCAGACACCCCACCTGCCTTTCCCTCAGCTTTGTGTTGCTTTGTGCTCCAAGATGTGTCTCTGCCCAGGTACGCAAAGAGCTAGAAGTAAATGGGATCGAGTTTTACCCCCAGAAAGAGTTTGATGAGGACTTGGAGGATAAAACAGAGAACGACAAAATCAGGGTAGGAAACATTTTATCATGGGAGGGGAAGGGGGGATGAGGGCTTGTCATATTTAACAAGTGTAAAATGGACATGTGTCACTAGAGGTTTTTAAGTGCTTCTTGGTTCATGAATGAAAGATGCAACAGATGTAGGGACCTTCTGGTCAGCTAAAGGAGACAAGCTTCTTTGGATGAGCCTTCCATTCCTCAGTAGTCCATGCTCCTAGTCACTTTTTCCTGTGACTGCTCCAGTTTGATTTGATTTTGTAGCACTGGTGCTGGTACCCGATGCTCTCCCATCTCTCCTGAGATCTGAACTGCTAAACCCATGGACCACATGTGCATTTTAAACAATTGTATCACGCTGGTGGCTCATGGTCATTCTGCATCTGACTAGCACATGGGGTCCTTCCACTCCCTCAGACACTACTTGCTCATGAGCTCTGAAGTTGTAGCAGAAATTCTTGCTGTTATTCCCAAAATGCTGCTCTTTGTGCCTCAAACTTACATCTTCCCATATAATAACCCAGGCTGCTTTCGTACTGACAACACCTCTTGGCCTCGTGATGCTAGTGCATTTTGTTATCCCACCCATCATTTTTGTAGCTAGGCTCTTATTGAAAATAGACTGGCATCCACACAGTCCTCAAGAAACTCTTGTACTGCTCCCTGACAATTGCCCTTTTGACTGCCCCAACTGTCACAGCCCCAGCAGAAATTCCCACCTTGTCCATCTTATTAATCATTTCCCATTTGGCAATATATTACAAATTCTGGAGAAGACTAGATGGGTTTTGCTCCTTCTCCAAACAGTTACTGGTTTTGACGAGAGCACCAACCACATTTTGTTCTGCACTTCAGCATCACATGTAAGAAATAAACTGCTTTTTGATCTCCGCTCCTTTGGTAACTGCAGTCCCTTCCCAGGCCCAGTGATACTATAAAGCAGAGCGAATCTATGAACATCCAGCACCTGTGTTCTGGAAATGAATGGTTTCTCCCTGTGCTAAGAGTCTCAGTCACCAATAGCCTCACCTACTGTCCCACTTCCCAGGAAAGCTGCATCCCCACCCCATTTCTGGTCTTCCTCAGTACAACCATTTCAGACATTAAACTTGTTGAATGTTCATGTGTCTTGCTGGGGAGGATTATTTTGAGTTATCTCCTTCTTCTGGTGGAGAACTACAACCTGGTTGAGAAACAGGGCAAATTCTCTATATGGATAATGCTGGGCTGACAGACCCTCGTAAGAAGTACCAGCCAAGGTACTTCTTATTTGGTTATCCCCCTCTTCAGAAATGCTGGAGATGGGAACAGAAAAGCTCTTCCCCCCTGCCCCATCAGAGTCTTTGCACTGCTGCAAACTACCCACTAAGCTTGGGGAGTGCAAGGGTAAAGAGGACTGCCAGTGTTGTCCTGGAGAATCTCTCCTCTTGGAAAAGGCCTTATGTTTGGTGAGCTGAGAGGAGGAAAGCAGATGGGGAACAGTGACTGTGCTGCTCTCTGGAATGGGTTCAATAGATCTCTGCACATGTCTCTCCCCAGCAGGAAAGCATGCCCTTTGCAGTAGTGGGCAGCGACAAGGAATACCAAGTGAATGGCAAAAGAGTCCTGGGCAGGAAAACACCTTGGGGAATCATTGAAGGTAAAAGAATCCCTTGTTTCTGGGAGCTGAAAGTTTCTCTGCAGGCCCCAGTAATAAACCAGGATCCAGACGGCATGTCCCATGGCCACCTTCCCATCCCTTTTGTGATAAACTTTTTGAAACCAAGCAAGAGGAGAATGCTCAAATAGCACTGTTGGGAGGGAACTGGCATGGTCAATGTGGTACCCCTGCTGCCAACTGGTAGGAGCTGGAGCCACTCTGAACAGCACCGTGTGTGAGGCTGAGGTCCTGAGGCTGCCTTGGTTTTCAAATACAATTGCACACATGACTGCTCAGCATCTGTTAGCATGTCTCCTCAATGCCTGACTGTGCCTTTCAGATAGCTGTCTGTCCCTTCTGAAGTATGCAGGCTCTGCCCACCAGAACCTGCCCCATAGCAATGACCTTCCCATGCTCTTCCATGTAACCAGAAAGCGGTTGCTGGAAAAAGTCAAACCTAACATTTGCTTGCTATTTTTTTCAGTGGAAAACCTGACTCACTGTGAATTTGCCCTACTTCGAGATTTTGTCATCAGGTAAGGCCATGGTCACACACCAGTTTGCTCTTGATGAGCAGGGTGTCTTCCTGAGACCCTCTTAGAGTGAAATAGCCCCTATGGAAATGAAAATAGAGTATATTTCAGGCACTGAAGACTTATGTGGGGTAGGGTTAGACTGAGTTAAGGGCTGGATGCTCTAGTGCCTCTCTTAGTGACACGACCACTATGTGAAGTAGGTACTAGTTTCATGTATGAGCTGGATGCCTGGAGAAAAGCAGGGTACTATCACCCCCCCCTTATATCCCATTAAGGATATTAGGTTGAAACTGCTTCTATTTTTTGCTGACAATGGGTTTGGGATGGAGTCGGTGAAAAAGAGGCCACTACCACATCCTAGGTCATGTGTCCTACCAGGCTGAGAGATGTGCTGGAATATATGACCTGGAAATGGAAAGTTCTGTATTTCATTGTCCAGTCTTATTTCTACTCTGTTTCATGGAGTTGTCTCAGCACAAGTGATACCTGCCCTAAATTCTGTAGAAGAGGTGCAGACCCAGGGTCACCTCAGTTCCCTATAAATATAAGAAGGTTTTAAAACAACACCAAAACTAAGAAAATAAAGGAAACACTCTTAGAAGATGGAGCCCTGTGGCTCATTCCACCTGTTGGTATGGTGGTATTGAGACATGCTTGGACATCACCCCACTGCCCTCTTTTTGTTCTGCGATACCTTCTGCAGCAGACATGCTTCCCCTGAGTCTTACAGTGAAAACATCCTAACCAAGTGACCATCACAAACTACACAGAAATCCAAGCCCACAGGCTTTCTATGGAGGCTAAAGATGATGTTCACAGCATTGTTCTGAGGTAACATCTGCAGTGGACGTGCTACACCCTCCTGGTGCTTGTCTTGTGCTTTCTTGTCTCACCTCTGCTTCAGATGAGATAAGACCATGTCTGCTCTGACATACCAGGATGGCCAGTGGCTGTCCCACTGGCACAGATGTGAGCAGCAGGACACTGGCAAGCACAGACAGGGATTTCAGCCGATATCCTGCATCCTGCATATGTATTCTTGAATGCTGATGCTCCAGCTCTCAGCTATGTATGATGGCACCCATGCAATCCACGCAGAAAGGGGTATGCTCACTAGCCAGACTGCCTGAAGAGATCTTCCATTTATCTTGGGGAATAAAATGATCATCAGAAGATTAATACTGACTGAGCTCATCTTGCTTATCGTATCTTCCTCCTAACCCCACCTTCACCTTGCCCCCTGCAGGACCCACCTTCAGGACCTGAAAGAAGTGACCCACAACATCCACTATGAGACCTACAGGGCCAAGCGGCTGAATGACAACGGAGGGCTGCCCCCCATGACTGTCGAGACAGAGGAAAACCATGAAAGTAACCTGTGAATGACACACACACACATCCCCACTGTCACTCAGTGTCTCTGGATATGACAACCCACCCCTGCTACCCTTGAGTCTACCATGGACCCATCTTGAAACATGTGGTGCATCCTCCATGTGTGTGAGAGGATGCGAGTGTGAGTGTGTGTGCGTGCCTACCTATGTGCCAGAGAGTGACCCAAGGTGAGGTCTCCCTGTCCTCCCCAGAGTGTCCTCATCCTCAGTTTGTTTTTTGCATAGCGGACTGTCTGTCATGTTCCTTTCTCTTGTTTCTGTGTCTCAGCTCTCTGTCGTGTCTGGGGGGAATAGGGATGGGGGGGAAGGATTTCTAGGAGCAGGAGAGGTTTGGAGGTGGGAGGTGTGGGTCATGCTGTGGTCCTGTTTTAATCACTTGGAGACACGGCAAGGAGAGACTCCAGGAGAGATGGTGGAGCCAGTGCTCGCAGTGTCTTCAAGTGAGGGCAGCAGAGATTTCTCTTGGCTCCTCAGTGCGTGGGAAGGCAGCTGGTTGGGCTGAGGGCATGGTAGCCCAGCTTTTTAAGCCCATTTCTTGCTGTGGCTTCCCAAGGGGAAATGGCAGCTTGGAAGTGGATAAGCGACAGACACATTTTGTGGTTCAGAGGAAGTGACCAGTGGGAGGAGACAGAATTAGTTCTTGGGCTGTAGCATCTATTGAGAAGCATCAAAGTGCTTGAGGAAAATAGCTGTATTTGAAAAAAAAAAAAGAGAAAAGCAAAACCCAGAGAAAAAGAACATGTTTCTGCTGCAGAGGCTGCATTTGCCCTGCTCAGTGCTAAGATCCAAAGCCGTGCTTGTGTCACAGGCTCCTGATCCTGTACAGATGAGACCAAGCTGTCCTGCAGTCACTCCATCTCATCCCCCATTGCAGCAGTCTCTCTCCACCAGTACTGAGCCAGTTCTGGACGAGCCTTCCCCCCACAACACAGCCCCTGTGCTGTGGGAGCACAGGGAAGACAGTGCCATGGGGGGGTCTCTGTTGGGAGCTTCCCAGGGGCAGCCCTGCTCAGCACAGGGCCTTCAGGATCTTGAAGGAGTACAAAGAGCCATGGATTGAGAAGCACTGGGTCTCTACTGATGATGGGAACAAAAGAGATATCTCCTCTTCCCTTGCTGAAATGTCTGCCTTTGCTACTCCAGCAGTCTCAGCTTGTGCTGCTCCTCCACCCTCTTACTGCCCTCCCAGCTTCCATGGCCCCTTTCCCTGTGCTTTTGTTGTTACTCCCTTTTAGCCCTCCATATCTTGCTTTCTTACTTTCTTTCTCTATCTCACTTTCTCTGCTCTTGACCCTTTCTGTCTCTCCTTCATCTCTCCGAGCACTTGAACCTTCCTCTTCTCCAGACTGCTTTCTCCCCCTTCATCTCCCAATCTCTCACAACTCCTCATCGATGTGTCCTCTCAAAAAGCTCTCATTTTACCTTCCCCTGGAGGGAAGGTAAAGACCCAGGAGCAGAAAGAGGCACAACTTTACCGAAGCTATATGCTTGTGTCTAGCTGGCATCAACTCTTTTCTGGGTATCGCTAAGCCAGGTGGAAAGTGTCAGGGCTGGCTGGGAAGATGGGAAGAGAGGAGAATGTCCCTAGTTTGGCAGTCTCTGCCTGTCACCTAGCACATCACATGGCTGGCCAGGGTTGTCACCTCCAGGAGAATTTCCGGTTGCACTTCAAATGCAAGTGCAGAATGCCATAGCACGGGATGGCAGCGCTGAAAGGGAAGGGAGTGCAATGGGTTTGGGATAAGGTTGGGAAGGCTGGCACAGGAGAGAGTGAGGAAGAGGTCCCAGCAAGGGAACAGCAAAGGACTGAAGCCAAACCTGAGGGTGGTTGATAGAGCTGTACAGGGGACATGGCTAGGAGAGGGTTCTCCAAGCCTCAGCAAAAACATCTGAGAGCATATGTCCATCCTGTGGCTTTCTCTGGTGCTGTCCCTGCAAAGCAAAGGTCTCCTCACTCCTGCATTCCCACCTGTCCACACAAACCAGACATTCTCAGAACTGCTGGGACACAAGGGCCATACCAGCCCTTTGTGGTCCTTTCACCACCCATGTTCACAGCTCCACATACAGCTTCCACCCGCACCAGCCCTGCTTGACCTGCAGAGAACAAAAGCCCCATCACCAGTACTATGGACCCTACAGAAACCGTACACTGCTCCCCATCCTGCCACCTACACTGGCCAGCATGGGGTCAGAGCCTCCTCCCAGCTTGTCTCCACCAGCCATGGAGGAGTTCTCAGCATCACTGGCTACCAGAAGCATCTTCTCAGCCTTCTCTGCTCTGGCTGCTCCTGCCCAGCCTCTACATGTTTTAAACCCAGAGCAGTAGGAAAGACTCCCTCAGGGCTCCTCTTCTTCACTGCACTGAAGCACGAAGTGATGCTCCATCGTCTAGAGGAACTCTCTTGCCACTGGTCTGCATCACCTTGGGCTGTGGTATGGTAATTCCTATGACTCTCGGCCCCAAACACGGGTTATGGCAAAGACTGCCCTGCTTAATTGCAAAGCAGACCCCACACAACAGAAAGAATTTTTCTTTGCTTGTAAGTGGATTGCAAGGACAAGGCCATGTGTTTGCTCTGTAGGTTTAGGAATTTTTGTTTGTAATAAGGTGTTTTTTAAGCTCTGCTCTATAATTTCCTGCCAGATCATGGACTAATTCTAAAGAATCCATAAAAGTGAGCTGAGAAAAACAGGCTCAGCTATTCCTCACTGCCATCTGCTCATCTGTCTGAAGGTCTACAAAGGGCAAACATAAAGAATTTCACATGTTGTGCAACAGCTGCAGACACCTTTGGGAAAAAAACCTCTGTGGATGGATCAGGTAGGAAAAGCCTGAATGAATCCCAGCTCTTGTGTGCCAACAGCTGCGCTCCAGGATGACCACAGCACACCAGGTGCTCCCTCGGGTATCACTTGAACGATACCATAGGAGGATAGAGGCTAAGTTTTAAGCTGGAGATACCTCCTCAGTGTGTTCAGAGACAACTCTTCACCACCAAAGTCACACACCAGACAAACTGTGGTAAATCCCAAAGGCTGGATAAACTCCACCAGGCTAAGATGGTAACGAACATCCCGGCAGGTGTGGCTATGCAGTGAGCAGAGGGCCAGAAGAGCAAGTAGCACTTGTGCAGGCACTAGTATTTGTGGTTAGTCGTAAGGACAAGTTAATTACAGCGCAGTACACCCGGTGAGCGGGCGTCTGAGGAATGGCTGCCCAAGGCACGCTGCCAGCCCCTCTCCCACTGCAGCAACCGGAAAGCGAACAGAGGGCAGCGAGAAACGCTCTTCAGCCAGACACCGCGTCGGGAGCGAGGGGGAAAAGCCCTTCCGGGCCCAACCGGGTGCCGGGCCCAACCGGGAGCCGGGCCCAACCGGGAGCCGGGCCCAACCGGGAGCCGGGCCCAACCGGGAGCCGGGCCGCGGTCCTTCCCAGCGGCAACCCGCGGATCCTGCGCAGACAGGGGCTGGCGCTGGCCCGCGGCTCGTCACGGGGCAGACGCGGTGCTCGGTGCGGGCCGGGCCGGGTCGGGCGGTGCCGCCTGATGTAGCGCTCTCCGCGCCGGTCGCCATTAAACCTCCCGTCACCTAGCAACCGCCTCACGTCCGCCTGACGGCACGCATCACAGGGGGCGGGGTGTTGAGGGGAGCGGGGCCCTATGGGGGGAGAGAGGAGGGTGAACGTCACAGGTCAGAGGCGGGGTCAGCAGGGGACAAGATGGCGCTGAACAGGCATCACTCGCAGGAGGGTGGTGTCGTCATCCCCAATGCCGAGAGGTACCGTACCGGAGCGGGGGGGGCACGGGGGCTGTGGGGCACGGGGGCTGTGGGGCACGGGGCCGGGCCTGGGCCTGGGCCTGGGCCTGGGCCTGGGCCTGGGCCTGGGCCTGGGCCTGGGCTCCTCATCCGCTGTCCTCGCGGCGGGGCTCAGCCGGGGGCTGGCGGACCGCGGGGTGGGGGGAGGCAGCAGGTCCCCGCTGCGGCGACTCCTGTCTCCTCCCGGCTCGACCCGCCCTGGGGGCTGCGTTATCATCATGGAATCACCATACCGTGGAATGGTTTGGGTTGGAAGGGACCTCAAAGCTCACCCGGTTCCAACCCCCTGCCACGGGCAGGGACACCTTCCACTAGGGCAGGTTGCTCCAAGCCCCGTCCAGCCTGGCCTTGAACTCTGCCAGGGATGGGGCAGCCACAGCTTCTCTGGGCAACCTGTGCCAGGGCCTCACCACCCTCACAATAAAGAATTTCTTCCCGATATCTAATCTAAATCTCCCCTCTGTCAGTTTAAAGCCATCACCCTCTTGTCCTGTCCCTACAGACCCTTGTAAAAAGCCCCTTTCCAGGTTTTTTGTAGCCCCCTTTAGGGACTGGAAGCTGCTTTAGGGTCTCCCTGGAGCTTTCTCTTCTCCAGGCTGAACAAGCCCAGCTCTCTCAGCCTGTCTTCTTAGCAGAGCTGTTCCAGCCCTCTGAGCATCTTCATCACCCTCCTCTGGACTCAGCCCAACAGCTCCATGTCCCTCTTGTGTTGTGGGCCCTAGAGCTGATGCAGAACTCCAGGTGGGGTCTCACTAGAGCGGTGTAGAGGGGGAAAATCCCCTTCCTGGACCTGCTGGCCACACTCCTTTTGATGCAGCCCAGGACATGGTTGGCTTTCTGGGCTGCGAGTGCACGCTGCTGGGTCATATTGAGCTTCTTAAAGAGGGAATGTGCTGGGGCAGGCAGTGGGGAGCGGGCCTGCTGGAGTCATCAGAGCAGCTCCATCTCCACTGTTGGAATTCATTGGTCCTTAGTGCCACTGCAGCAAGCACGCGGGTTGAAGAGTGAGCTGCCATCACTTGCAAAACACAAAGAATTGTTTGGGGTTTTTTATGTCATGCAACCAGCTAGTGATGTCAGAGAGGCAGAGGCCACTGAAGATGGGAGTCTGAATCACATGAACTCGAAGGAAGGAGAACCTGTCATCCAAGTTGAGACCTGAGCAGAGTGGGTCCTCTCCTCATGAAAGCACAGGCAGCTGCTTGATGCCTGCCCTCCCCCTGAGTGAGGATTGACAGACCAGCTTGATGGGCTTGGGCTTTGGTTTGGTTGTGTTTGGGTGCTCCTGGCATCCTGGCCCTGGCTAGAGAAACCCAGTAAAGGATCACTGAGTGGATTTCCTGTTGTTTACCAAGGATGGTAAACAATAGGAAAAAATAGGCTCCAAAAATACGCTTTAGATAATGTTGAGCTCACAACTGACTGCTAGTACTTGAGTCAGTACTTCTCTGGCATGTAGAGCTCTTGCTGGCTTAACGAGATCTTTTTATCCCTTGACCTCAGGCCATTCTTCAAGGTGCTACTTAGTCATAGGTGGGTGCAGCGTGGCTCCATGGAGTGCACAGCTCTCCTGTGACAGCTCTGGATGGGTACGCAGGCAGCCCATCCAAACCAGTTCAGCAGCCTCATTATGCCCAGTGGTGCTTGCTGCTGTGTGTAATTTGTGTGTGTGAGTAGCTGGGAAGGAGTAAACATTACAGTGACTATGCAGAAATTCTTCCCAGTGAGGCAAACTGACATGAAATGCTGCTACAGGAAGGACATGGTTGAGGAAGTGTTCTGATCCAGGCTGTTGAGCTATTTAGCTTAGAAGAAATGTTTCCCCTCTGCATTTTGGAAATGGGAAGAGCTCTGCAGTCTCTTCAGTCTGTCCCTCCCAGCCAGTTTGGGAAGCTGCATCTTACTCAACTATGAAGTAATTTCCCAGTAGAATTTCTTGGTCAGGCTAGGTTTTTTTCTCATTAAAGCTAGGGCTTTTAATGTCTTCCTCCTTGGCTGGCTGCATTTTTCAGATACATCTATCCTGTTATGCTTTTCCCTGAAGAGCACACAACCCCGAACTTCAGGGCTTTGGGTTTTTTTCCCATATGCTAGCCCTGCTGATTCCTCCCTTCCCCCAGTAATTCTGCAGTTTCCTGACTTGATCTGACTTCTACAGTGTGCTGATCAGGATGCATCAGGATTACTTTAGATCCAGCCTCTTCAGGCTTGTGTTGGATTAAGGCCTTGTGTTTTCTTTTTCCAGCTCTTGAACCATCAAACACCTCAGATCCTTCTGTCACTGTAACACACTGTTAACGCTGTAGGTTTGTCACCCCCAAGGCCTTTTTGTTTATTCTGCAGATTTTCTTACTAGGTGGTATGTTTAGGATCTGCCCTGCACATTCATGGACACACTCTCCCAAATTGGCTCAGTTTTCCTTAAAATATATTTAATTTTCCAGGCACCTCCATACCCGACCCTGTGGTGATCACAGTTCTCATCTGGCTTTGTGTCATAAGCAAACTTCTCTCACGTTCCCGTAGGTATCCAACAACAATAACCTTGTTGCTGACATTACTGGCTCCTCATTTTGTTCCATAGCATGGTGCTGTTTCTTACAAATACTTACTTAAATCATGTGAAGCAGGGTCAGCAGTGAGGGTATTAGTGAAGCAACTTCCTCAGTTTGCACAGTGGGTGCGGTCTTACAGCAGTGCTGTTTTTCTGTGTGGTGGACAGTCCTGGATTTGAGCACAGACTTGGAGAGAGAGGCTTGCTCTGAGATGATACCTGGGCATCAAGGGGGTGGTTTCAGACACCTCCACCCTTTCTGTGCCCTGATCTTTGGACTGAGGGTGTTCTCATGCAGAGAGAGGAATTCCTTGGCCTGATGGTTTGGGAGGCAGAAAGAGAAACTGTCATTTAAATCCTCCGTCTGTGGAGGAGGTGAGAGGATTGTTGTTGCAGGTGAGAGGATGAATTCTTCCCTTCCGTATTCAATTAGCTGTCTGTGTTCAAAGGAGAAATGTCAGGGCCCACATCAGAACTGGCTCTTTTGGGATTATACTCATTGTTTCTGGTGTGCTGTCCCCCTCCCTGCATGATGGGTGTGTGGGTCAGAGCTGTTGCTGAGTTTGTCTCTCCGATTTGTTTGATTTCCTCCTCTAGTGTTCTCAAACATTGTAAAGATGTGGAGCTCTCCTTCAGTGACGTGACGGGCAAGCCTGAAGCCTTCAGAGGCACCAAGAAGGGGATGCTTTATCTCACCCCGTACAGAGTAAGTCTGATGCTAGCAGGGCTTCTTCTTTCTCAAAGGATCTTGTAGACTTTAGACCGGAAGCATAGCTGATGATAGAAGAAGTGACTTTTGCTATGGGAGGAACCACTGAGAGTACTAGGTAGGAGAAGGGAAGATGGAATAGTTCATACTTGTGTCACAATCCTAATTCCATACAAAGCCATGTGCAATCCTAGATATTGTTGTCTAGAGAATGTAATTCATTTAATGTCTCAGTCAGTATTACTTTCTTTGAAAACTATCATAGCTTATCCTTAAAAAGCAGCTCTTGTGGTTTAGACCCAGCCAATAACCCAGCACCACACAGCTGTTTGTTCATCCCCCCTTTCCCCCTGTCCCCAGGGCAGGATGGGGAGGAGAATTGAAAGAATGTAAACCCCACGGGTTAAGTTGAGAACAGTCCAGTAACTAAAATAAAGTAAGATAGAGTGATAATACAAAGAATACCAACAATAACAATAGAAAACAACAAGGGAAGAAATGAAAGCTCAGAAAACACAAGTGCTGCACAGTACAATTGCACACCGCCTGCTGACCAATACCCAGCCTGACCTGGGCAGCAATCTGCCCTTCTAGGTGACTCCCCCCAGTTTATATACTGGGCATGACATGCTGTGGTATAGAATACCCTTTGGCTAGTTTGGGTCAGGTGTCCTGTCTCTGCTTCCTCCTGGCTTCTTGTGCCCCTCCTCACTGGCAAAGCTTGATACTGAAAAGTTGTTGGCTGGGGTAAGCACCACTCAGCAACAACTAAAACATCGGTGTGTTATCAGCATTGTTTGCAGACTAAACCCAAAACACAGCCACTGCACCAGCTACTAGGAAAAAAATTAACTGTCAGAGCTGAACCCTGGACAGCAGCACAATAAAATTCTCTAAATGTGCACATGTGTTTTGAGTGGTTTATGATTTTGCAACATAACACACTTCAGGTGAGTGAGCCATGTGCCATTAGATCTGTTTGGGATCCTGCAGTATTAAAGCTGTGAAATAACAGTGCATACTGATAGCAGGAGTTCAATTATCCTCTTTTGGATGCTGCTACAACTAGAACTCCTTGACCACCCTTTGTACCTAATGCATATAATTCAGAGTTGTTCCCTCCTGTGTTGCAGATGATCTTTGTGTCGAAGGGGAAGGATCCTATGCTGTCTTTCATGATGCCGTTTTATTTGGTGAAAGGATGCTCAATTGAGCAGCCTGTTTTCTCTGCCAATTACATCAAAGGACAGATCCAGGCTGAGGCTGGAGGTATGTGCCTGTGCTCTGTAGACCGAACTCTTCCCGAGTGTTGAAAGTCCTTTTCTGTTGAGCATTACATACCCAGCTTGTGGGCACAGGAAAGATGGACAGAGTAGCTGTGGCAGTACAACTGAGATGTCCTCACTGAGGTAACTTGTGTCTTCTGACCTTAAGGCACTGCTTCTGTGTTACTTCCTGCCCCCAAAGCACAGGATGACTTTCACAGGATGACTTTTGTTTAATCCTGTAACTTGTGTCTTGCTGTGTATGTTGTGTTTACTTGGTTTCCATATGTGCTTGTTTTCTCCTGTCTTTGACGTAGAAGGGATAGGTAAGTGACCGAGTCAGCAGTCATTGGCGTTGATAGACAGGATTAACAACGCTTTTGTTTTCTGGAGGTCAGTAGCCACTTACCACCTTGGGGATGTTTGCTGAAGCTAGGATGCTGCTGTATATGAGTGATTTAGCTTTGTTCTCAGTTTGATGACAAAACTGTGGTGTGGTCATGACCAAACATGGGGAATTGCAGAAGATAATCGGGGATTGAAAACAAGGACTCTGGTTCAAATTTCTTCACTCTTCATCCCTGGAATTAGTTTATGTGCATTTTGATGGCATCTGTAGAGCTTATACGTTTGCTTTCTGTCTCTACACAATGTTTTAAAGTGACTGGGTCCTCTGGGCTGTGGATCAGCCCCCTTTCTTGGGCTGAAATCACACTAAGAGGTTTTAAACAGGTGACTAAGGGGCTGACTTTATCCATGGTGGGTTGTTTTGTTGCATTTCTATACTTCATTATTACCTTCATTGTTAGGCAAAGAAGATAAATTTTATTCTATGAAATGTTTTATTTAAATGAAATCTTTTTTCTTAAAATCATCAAAAACCCAGAGCACCCCCCAAAAGAAACACCAAAAAAAAACCCTGCAAAACAAAGCATTCAATTATCTTGCAATTTCATCTCCTACTTGATTTCTTTTTCCAAAATATTGATATTTTACTGAAGTGTTTATAATCTCTCTGAGCTTCCACATGTCAAAAGGATTTTAAGTACTGCATTTGATTTAAATCCTAGCTTGAGCTGCAGATCCGGATCTGTAGTCCACTGAGGTCAGCAGTAAAACTTCATGTGAGGGCTTTCAATTAAAATCCTCAGTGAATTAAGTGTTTTTTCTTTACACTGTGTTCATTATTAGGTTCTATTAAACCTTTCAGGAGAGAACAAGACAGCCTAGTATCTACAGTAGGCTGCTTCTATGTAACTGTAGTGGGGATTGTCTTCTAAAGGGTAAAGAAATAAATTCCTGATCTTCTTGAGATTCTATTTTGGGGTCATCTGCTAGCAATGCCGTATCTCTTTCCAAAATAATTGGAGTTTTAGCTGGTTTGCTGTCTTGGCTGCTACTGAGGAGATTGTTTCAATTCTAATTTTCTAATTCTCTCTTCCCTAGGTGGCTGGGAAGGGCAGGGGACATTTAAACTGACTTTCAACAGTGGAGGGGCCATTGAGTTTGGACAGCTGATGCTCAAAGCTGCCTCTAGTGGTAAGGGATCTTCAGAGTTGTAGTTCCCCCATGGCTGAGCTGGTTAGAGTAGTGCTCTTCCTGAGCTTCATGGGGAAAAAGGGTACCCTGTCCACACTTCCACATTTTTTACTGTATTTTTTAAGCTTTCCAGGGGAATTTTTGTTTTGCCTTCGTAGAATAGTATCATAGAGTGGTTTGGGTTGGAAGGGACCTTAAAGATCATCCAGTTCCAACCCCCCTGCCATGGGCAGGGATACCTTCCACTAGGCCAGGTTGCTCAAAGCCCCATCCAGCCCCATACTTCCAGGGATGGGGCAGCCACAACTTCCAGTCTTTTTTCTTTATTTCATCTTAGTGCCTTTTGCAGTCAGAATATTCTTGGGTTTGTGCTCCTGAGGCAGACCACCTTTTTCTACAGAACCTTATTCCTCTTGCAATAAAATTGAAATATGTGATGGTGAAAAATTGATTCACTCAGCTCAGTTCTGTAATACTGGAGTAAGATGGGGGAGAGGGGAAAAAAATACGTCTTAAAAAATAACTTCTACTTAAAACTTTCAAATGGGGGAAGAATGTACTTTATTTCTGATAAGAAAGATTTCTTTTTAAAGACGTGCATTTAAAGATATACTTTTTGTTGTTTTTTTTTTCCCCCGGGTAAGAAGGTTTGAAAAAGCAGCAAAAAGCACCCTCCTTGCTCTAGAGAGGTCTTTCCTCCAGCAGTGGGAGCTCTGTGATGGGACTAGTACCTGATAGCTAGTGCTTTTGTAGTGGGCTTCCTTTAGCACGCTGTGAACTTGCAGTGAGGAGACTGATGCTTTGCAAGCACAGCACCACTTCAGGACTGTGTAGTGAATTTAGATGAAGGGAAGCAATGCTGCATGAAGAGGACTGTTTTCCTTTCATTCTATGTGCTTAGTTGTAACAAAAGGATGTCTGTCTTACTAAACACGTGCTCCTTAGCTTCCAGTGGTGTTCCTCTCCAGAACCCTGGCTATGGCTATACACCTTTTCCTGGAGGATATGCACCCACCCCACCTGCTCCTGAGGGCTATGCAGCTCCTCCACCACCAAACGGACCATATCCTTATGCACCACCTCCGATGAATGCCTATGGACCTGCTCCACAGCCCATGGGATATCCGTATGCCCAGACTCCAGGTTTGGAAGTTGTATGATGATGACTGGCAGGGTGTGTTTGGTGTTAGCTGTAAAGAAATCACAGTGGTATGGTGGGGGTTATTGTCTCTCTTTTTGCAGCTGGATGAGAGGTGAAAATGTTGCTTGTAAATGGTGCTGCTGCTTGGCAGAGGATTTGCTGGCATGTCAAATCCCTGCTGTCTGCACCCCTGCCAAGCCTCCAGAGCTTCCCTCACCACTGCTCTTGTCCAGAACCAGTGTGCTGCTGAGCCTGTGAGCTCTCTTCCACCCTGTCCCATTGCCATGGTTCAAAGCATCAATCCAGTTTCATCTTTTTCAGGTATTTACCCACCGCTTCCCAACATGAGCCCCATGTTTGTGCCACCTCCTCTTCCCCCCTACTCTGGGCCATCTGCAGGACCTGCAGCATCAGTGGGCCCAGGGATGCCAGGTAAGTGAGACATGGGGGCTGCCAGGGTCTGGTGCAGAAGGGTGCTTAAGGCTTGAGCTGTGGGCACAGCGTGGAGTCCAGAAGCTGTTGTTTCAGGGGCTCAGAGTTCTCTTCATCAGTTATTTGAGGTAGCAGAGGGAGGGGGAAACCGTTCAGCTCTGCACTGCACTGCTTGTGGTCAGCTTTTGCCAGCTTGCAGCTTTCCCAAGCCTCTGAATTCTAACCCAGCTTGCTGCAGTTGCTGCTGCCTCTTTGGACCTCTGTTGCCTCCTCGAAAGAGCTGTGGCTGTGGGAGAAGGCTCTGGGACTTGGGCCACTGCCTAAAGCCATCTTACATGCCTTTTCTTTCCTTTCTAGGGGACAGTAGGGCCATGGAAGCCACTTCCAGTGCTTATTACAACTCTGCCAACCCACACAATGTATACATGCCTGTGGTAAGTACTGTGCCTGTGGTCTGCCTATGCCTCCTTCCTTTTCTTTGCTAGCAGAGACGGTGGTTTGCTTCCTTAGCAAAGTCCACTGTGCCTTCATACTGAATGTGCACAGAAAGTATGCATTTTCCTGGGAGGAAGGTGTGGCTGTTTGTCTCATGTTCAATCCTCAATCAGGAAAGGAGAAGCACCTTAAGACTTGTCCAGTAATAGCCATTTGGTATTTGTGTTGCTCTTAAAGGCATAGCAAATTTGCATGGGCACAGAACACACAGAGTACTCTGCTTCTGATGGGCCTGAAAGTGAAAAGAGTTAAAGAGCAGCAGGTCATTTAAGGAGGAGAGCATGTGGGTTTCTCTTGTTTTCTTCTGGGCTGTATGGAGATAGGGATGTCTCTCACTGTTCAGTCAGTGGCAGGTGGAAGGTAGGCTGTAGCTTACACAGTGGTATGTGACAGCTGATCTGCCTGTGCCCTTCACTGCCTCGCGTGGTTCTGTGGTGGGCTGGAGACCGATGGAGCAGCAAAGCTGGCCCTCAGCCCAGGGGTTTGCTCTCTGCTGGGTCAGAGCTATGAACATCAACAGAGCCCTGGGAGCTTGGTGATTAAAACAAATTAAATGCAGTTTTAAACATGGTCTGTTTGCAATAGTCCGTTTGTTGGCTGGGTTTGAGGGGACCTTCACTAGAAACATTGTGGGAGGCAGCACATATCCTAGAGTGTGCTGATTAACTAGAGAGAAATGGTATGATGAAATGACAGCTTAAAACACAGCTCCTGGCTCACTCTGTAGCTCACTGGAGAGCGGTCGTTTCTTGTAAGCCAAGCCTGAGAACGCCTGGGAAGAGCTTGTTGTGAAACAAGTAGGGTTGTTGACTCCACTGTATCTCCTTCCAGGACCAGCCACCTCCTTATACACCTCCTGAGGATAAGAAGAACAACTAACAGAAGGAAATTGCAACCAGCCTCCTGCACTCTCTGTCTCCGAAGACAGCTTGGCTGTCCCTACCCCCTGGGTTAGCATATCTCTAGGTCTCTGTGTATACACAGTATATGTCATGGTGGGCAGCTGAGCACCTGCCCTTAAACAGTCAGTGGTAATGCAAAGTGGAACAACAGCATTTTCCTTCTTATTTGCTTTATTTCATGGGGTTGAAGCACTAACCTTTTGCTCTGCCATTGGCTTGAGGAGAGAGATGGACTTCATGTTAAACCACCACTATACCACACCACTAATCTAGGACTAAAATATGAAGGTTCTGGGATCTTGGAGTAAAACTATTTGGAATGCCAAACTTTTTACTTCTTCTAAAGCATCATCCGAGACGAAAGGTATAGAGAGCCATGAGGTTCCTTGCATAGACTCTTGGGTGCCCCAGAAAGGTGTTAGGTTCCCTGAAATTCTGGCACAGTTCAGCACGAGATGGGACTCTGGACATTCTGTATTGTGCTGGAAGCGTGTTTCATGTCCTGGACTAACAGACATGGGGTGACAAACTTGGGAAGTGCATCCAGAGAGACACTGAAGCATTTGGCTATGCAAGAGGGAAGGGGGTGGGCCCCACTCAGCCTGTCCTTGTGGACACTGAACAGAAAAGCAGACAAAGGCGTGCTGCAGGGCAGTGAGCTGACAGACTGGAGGTATGGATCAGTCTTCCTTCCCCTCTCCTAGAAGCAGGTCCCGCGTCTGTGCAGTGATCCTGTGCCACGTGATGGAGGAGACAAGTGCTGCACAGGAGGCTGCTTGCCTTGGAGTAAAATCTGTTACGTTAGGAAGATGACCCGGGACTAGCCTTGTCAGGAGATGGGTCCCACAGCTCCCTGTGCTGAGCAAGCTCGTGCTGTGTGCTGGCTCCACACGGGGAAGTGGGCCTTGTCTTCAGCCACCGCATCCAAGCACTGCAGTACTGGAGCTGGGATGCTTGGGGGTGCAGTGCCCTCTCTCTGGTGGGAACTGCTGCCTGGTACGGGTGTTACTGATGCTCAGCTCTCTTGCAGGGACTGGCTGCTCAACCACAACCTTTCCTTCTTCCCTAGGACATAGTGCCATTAAACCTGCTCTGAAGAGAGTCCCCCTAGTCTGGTGGAGACACTTGTGATCCTTTACATAGGGAGTGATCATGCTTCTTCCTACAGCCTTCCTACCTTCACAGTGAAGGGGAAGGCATATTTTCCTCCTTACTTCCCTGTGTGCCAGGGCTCTCCTGTAAATCAGGCTTGTATGACTTGTAAGTGAAAATTCTTAAAGCAGCCCTGCATAGTGGGAAGGAAATTTCCTTATCTATAAATACCTTTTAGGTCTGAGTTAGAGATATTCTAATAATTTAAAAAGAAGAAAAAAATCAATTATGAATGTTTGTAACCTTTTGCATTGCACTTTAATACAGGAGTGTTGATACCTTTAGCTGCCTGGTGACTGTTGTGTGTCTTGCGTTGACCTTCATTCTTGCCTTCTCTCTCCCTGGTGTGTGGCTAAGCTGGATCTGGAACCAATTAACTGGGGGAGAAAAAGGTGGGGCTCATCCTGTTGCTGCCTGAGGAGGGTGGAAAGCTGGTTTGTGCCTTTGCTCTCTCCTGGAGCACCAGAACTGGCCTGTGTTCGTGTCCTGGGGGCAAGGACAATGCTGCACTTAACAGGGTCTGGGCCACCACCGTACTATTCACTGCAGCTGTATTTGTAGCACCTCTGCTATGTGCATTCAGTGCCAGAGGGAAGGTCTCTCTTTTAACAGGAACTCCTCGCTAGTCAGTTTTTTCCAGTGAGGCAAAAGTAAATAAATACGTGGTAAAGGAAAATGGCAGGTAACTGTGGACTGTGAAATCTGTTTCCCTTTGTACCAAGGAAAGCTGGTGCCCTGCTGAACATGATGTAACTATTGGAATACAATTTCCTACTCTCCATATGTCTGTCTGTCCAGCACTTGTCTCTGACAGGAAACCAGTTCTGTTTCACAGTGTAGGTGTTCCTGTTTTGAGGTGATGACCCTACGTTAACCAAGCAGCCATAGCCAGCAACATAAATAAACACGAAACGGGAGAGCCTGGGGCCCGCCTGCCCTTTATTTCAATTAATTTGTCTCAATCACTCCCCAAGAACCAAGCCAACTCCTGTACATAGACATGAAGTGTGCTCATCCTTTCTCGTTGGCACTGCAAGCATCACGTTCAGCATCTTGCCACTGCAGTCAGAGAACATTTCTGGAACTGGCCAGAATCAGCCATTTGATCCTGCAGGAACCAGAATTGGGGGATGACCAGGAGCCCTCCAGCATCTGAACAGAAAGGGGAAACTTGGTTTTGCTGATCTAAAATGCGGTGTTTCCCCAGTCTGAGGCTTCATCTTGTGCCTATCTCCCTGGGCTGCAATCTTGAGCAGCAGTCTTCATGAATGCTGCAGTCATGAAGTCCGGGGCAGTCGGGGTAGGCCATGTCTCATGTCAAACTCCACCATAGGATGTGCGCTGTAGAAAGGTGAAGCAGTTGAGGGCTTTACAGTCTGTCCCACTGCTCGCTTGCAGTTTATTGCAAGGGGTAGGCTCCTTCTCAGAATGGAGCTGTGGATGTAGCTGCCCTTGGGAGGAGCCTTTCCCTGAGAAACCCTGAGTGTCCAGCCTGCTGCAGGAGGCCCTGAGCCCCCTTTTCGCAGGAATTTCCTGCCAGATCAAGAACAGGATGCAGCTTCATTTTGGAGACACATGTGACCATCTCTCAACTCGGGAGACACTGTCAGCATCTTCCCTACACCACTTGTGCACAACACCCTGCAGCTCCTGGGGCTGTACCACAGCAAGGCTGCTGGGGTTGTGCATGGTCAGTAGAGGTTTTTGCTCTGCTGTACACTGATTCCAGAGGAGCTTTAATACAATGCTAGCATGCATGCTAGGCTGTAGTAGTGCTGGCCTCCAGGCTGCTGGAGCCGGATCAGGCCTGCAAAGACTCTGCACAGGACCATCATGCCTCCAGGAGCTCTTGGTCCTGGGATGGGTACACAGGAAGGGTGCAGCCCTATTGACAGCCCCTTATTCTAAGCCAAGCTGATTATAGCGAAGAAAAGAAGGTGACCAGGTCTGATCCTTGAAGATCAGATGCCATCCATCACACATAGAGGGAGGTGAGTCACTACCCTAGAAGATACAAAAGCATCCAAAGCCTTTCTACAGGTTTAGTTCAAACAGCCCCCAACAGTCAGTGGTACCCAGCCTGAAGCAGAGAAACGCTCAGGTGTCAGATACGATGAACTAAACCAGCAGCAGGGCTCTGTTTGTGTGGAGTCTTCCACAGGAGGACCTCAGAAGGCTTTGCCATCACTGGGGAACTATGCTCTGCACACCCTTAGGAGGTGGCAACAAGAATTCCTGCTTCACGCAGACTGAGCAGACGTCATCAAGCTGGTACCAGAGAAACGGTCACCCCCAGCACTGCTGGGCACACCACCGAAAGGCACTTGTGCAGGGCAGAGCCACATGCCCCAGGCAGGGTCTCACGGCCCGCTGCGGCACGGACCCACACCCCCATCTGCTGAGCCCTGTCACAGGAGGACCGGGCGGAAACCCTCGCTGGGGGCTTGCTGTCTGACAATGCGCCAGGGCTGTGGCACAGGGTACAGGAACCACATCACCACCCCCGAGGGGTTAACAGTGACCGAGAAGTTGTCCCCCGCCTTCAAGCCTCTGATGATCTCCCCGCTGTACACATCTTGTACCTGGAAGAGAGAGATGGTGGCTACCAGGATTTCCATACACCTTTTATCTTGAGGGCCAGCCATGGGCACTGACATGGCATGGCAGGACAGGGCACAGCAGTGGGCAACAGGAGGGTGACCCAATGTGTGGCTGCCCCTTCATGCTGAAGGCAGAGAGAGGGAGCCCTTCCCTCCCAAAAAACACACAGGGTGCCAAAGGAGGGAACTGGCAAGAGAGGGATCCAGGTGCTGTGGGGTATGGGGCTCACCTCATACACAGCATCCTCAGGGAAATGGAGCTTAGCCAGGCTGGTGGTGTAGACGTAGGGTATGTCTGCCCTCCGGCTGAAGAAGACAAGGGCACTGGCACCCTGGGACAGTGGGCGCAGGAACACCTCAATGAGGGACTTCTCCTGAGGGTGGGGATGAACAGGTGAGGCAGAACTCCTGGGATCAGCACTGGCCCACAGACCTTGTCCTGCAGGATCGCTACACCAGCAGAACCCCAGCTCCCACAGCTCTCCTGCTCATGTTTCTCTGCATCACTTCCCTCTCCCTCCTTATTGTGACACTCTGTGCTGCTCCTGTCAGCTCTCCCAAACACATCCACCTTCCTCCTAACCTTGACAATCCTGCGCCCTTGGATTCCCAGGGGGTCCTGGTTGATCTGGATCATCAGGCGGTTCTGCAGGATCTCCCTGGCGCTCGGGGAGATGGTGCGGAGATCCGTGGACATGAGGAGCGGAGCTGCCATCACTGTCCACAAGGCCATTTGGGAGCGTGACTGCTCGTAGCTAAGGCCAAAGTTTCCAATGATGAGCTGGAGGGGAAAGGCAGAAAAGGGTTAGAAACTTGTCCGCTTGTCACCCTCAGCGATGCTGCAGCCTGCTGGGAGTGAGCACGCATCAGAAACCTCTGCACACTCTTGCTTCCCCTCTAGAAGCCTACCACTGCTGGGAGAGCTCACCCCTGCTAGGTGCTGAGCCTTCAACACACATTCAAATGCACTCACTACCACCCTTTGCTTCACCATTACCCTCAATGGCAACATGAGCTTTCCCTCTCTGCAGCAACAGGGCTCGTGTCCCTGGCACTCCTCTTTTGCCCTGCCCCTACAGGGGGATCACTGGAGGTCCCCCATCCATAGCACCCATCACCCAGCCGCACCATGTCTGGGTCATTCCAGTGGCCAGGGCCAGCTGCTGGCTGCAGCACATCCTGATTTTCGAAGAACCAGTCCAGGATGGAAAGCACACTGTCCCAGGAGTCCTGGATGTCGTCGTAGTTACGCCACAGGTTGCAGACCTCTGCCAGGATGGTGTAGTTCACCTGGAGAGGAGCACAGCATCAGGCAGGAGGGAGAAAGGACCCAGTCTGCAAGGTGGGGGAGAAGAGGCAGCCACACTTGTTGAGAGCTGCAGCATCCAGGAAGGGTGTGAAAGGCACAGGGACCTGGAGAAGGGCAACATCACGTAGCGAAGGGGGACAGAGTCATACCCCAATATGACTGGGCACATCCCACTATAATAAGATGTCTGGTAAAACAACCACCAAGGCCATGTGGAAATATGACCAGCTGCAAGAATGAGGGCAGCTCGGGATTCACTCAGAAGATGTAAAAGGAAATAAACACACACTCAGTTCTCAAGAAACATTACTAGGAAGAGCATCCTCTTTCATGCATTTAAAGAAGACAAGACCCATATCAGAAGATTGTCAGGATCAACCACGCGAGTGGGGTGGAGAGGGCACGCCCTGGGGCCTTCTTTAGCCAGACTCCCATCACTGAACATGCAGGGAACCCCAAGTGTTCCAGATGCCTATCAGGGAGGCCATGTCCTCTCCAGGGACCTGCTGCAATCCTACCAGCGACAGTGATAAGCAGGGTTTAGCACCCGGCTCCTGCAGCTCCAACAAGAGCTTCCCCGAGGGCACAGGGGACATGGAAAACAGCCACTGGATGGAATAACCCTCACCTTGGGGGGGAGCCCCCCCTGATAGGCCGGCCAGCTGCAGGAGTAGACGATGGGGTGGCCCGTGGCATTCAAGGCCCTCGCCATTTCTGGGTAGCCTTAAGGAGAGAAGATGACAACCGGTGAAGGGGAGAGCTAGCAGCAGCAGCTTGTGTCCCAGCCCGCCTGGCCTCCTGCCTCACACCAGCTCCAGGGCATCCCAACTCCCTCCTCTTTGCCCATGAGCTGCAACAGGAGACGTGAGGGAAGAACCGGCTGTTCCAGCATTGCTGTGGAGAGCTAGCTGCCCTGACCAGAGCAGCAAGGGGAGGAGTGCCAGCTGGCCAGGGAGCTTTTACCCTCTGCCTGCTCCTCTCCTGATGAGTAGCACCCGTCCAGCTTCAGCATGTCCACACCCCACTCTGCAAAGGTCTGGGCGTCCTGCTTCACGCGGTCCAGTGTGGTGCCCGGGTAGCCCCCACAGGTGAGTGTGCCCAGGTCGCCATAAATGCCCAGCTTTAGGCCCCGGGCATGGACCTGTGGGGAGATGAGAGCTGCAAGGAGGGCACGAGGGGGATCCCATGTGCCTCCCAGAGTCCTCCATCTGCTCCCAGCTCCTGCCATGGCAGCATGGGGATGCAGGGATGCCCACCACACACTCACGTAATCAGCCAGAGCTTTAATCCCCCTGGGAAACCTCTTGGGGTCCGGCACCAGCTGTCCCGCCGCATCCCGCTTCTTGGCAGACCAGCAGTCGTCAATGTTGATGTA